TGTGAGTAAATCATGGAATTGTGGATAGCTACCAGAATTCAAAGTTATGTTTTTGAATCCTGGAGTCTTGCATACGTTTTGAAAATTTTGCACCACGTAGCTCATCACGTGGTCTCGTAATTCGTCATATTGCCAAGCGGTCGTAAATAAAAACTCTGCGGCATTATTCACATTCACTCCCCGACATAATTTTACTTTAGCGTGTTGCTGCAAATTTTCGATCAAGTATTTATCGGCAATCTTGAACATATTTACGGCCGACGTTGGAGAATCCCTGGGTCCAAATGATACACGATTGGTATAAAGAAAACGTAACATTTCGAGAAATGTGTCTGGATGAAAATCTATAACCTCTATAATAATTCGTTTAGACTTTCTAACGGATAGAGATGAACACACTGATCGAATCGAATCGTCATCATCGTCATCATCACTCTCACTGTCAGAGACCCGTCTTCGTTTATGAGAGAATGTTGAATTACTTCCCAAAATGTTACTATCCATATCAGTATCTTCATCTTCAGGTGTTGGAATTTGTTGTTGTGGTGGCTGCTGTTCATTTTGAATTTGATCCTCTTCACTTTGGTTGTAAGTGATTGATTCCATCCATCGTCCCTCGAACATTCTTTGAAAGTATTCAGATCGTCGCGTGAGTATTGTAGTATTAGCATAAATAGATTGCCCTTGAACTCGGAATTCAACATCTGCATGCTCGGGTTTATTCAATTGATCAGCCCATGCGGTTACCAAGTCGTCAGGGAATGGCTTACCATTACCGGGAAATCTTGGTTTCTCGTCTGGGGTGCCGAATTCTGTCTTATCAAACTCTATACCAAGTATTATTTGATCCGAGGGAAGTAGATGTTTTTTGCAAAATCTATTCCAACCTATTTGGATCATTAATTTACATAATTATTCAACAAATGCTGATAGGATATATTCATAAGTGATGTAAAGAAGTCTAACCTCTTAATGGTTTTATCGCTGAGAATTTTGTCGTATCTAAAGTTGCTTTCTTTATCTCCACAAATGTTTCTGGATGCTTAATATAAATATCGGCAGAATAAGTAGCTCGATTTGTCCATGTTGAAGTTGTTCCTCCTTCTTCATGACTTGGTATCGCTACGAGATATACTGAACAGTATTCTGGGTTTTCTTTCGATGTCTTTAAGTAG